TGGGACAGTTGTTAACCACCCGCCTTGGGGCACAGCACTGGCCTGGGCTTGACCTAGATAGGATCACCTCTGGCACAGCTCTGCCCTTCACATGCATACACAAGCGCACACACCATGGGCCTTCAGGCATTCTTCTGGCAGAGGGGCTCAACAGGAAGACATGCACGTGGCTTTCCAGTGCTCGGTGTCATGGCAGCATTTTGGAAGACCAGACCCACCAAGCTAAGCACACACTCAGGGACAGCCTGAGCCTCCCGGTGACTGGGTGGAGCAGCCACAGCCATGCACGCAGTGGCCTGGGGGCTTCTCCGGGGAGAAGCAGACAAGCAGAGGCAATGTGCAACTTGCACACAACATCCTGCCCAAATCCTAAGAGGAGGAAGAAAAAAAAAAATCTCACTTCCTACTGAAGCAGGCTTAGTATGTTTGTGTCCAACAGTCTCCATACAAATGGAGAAGACAGCCCTTCTATTACCGAGAACTCTGCCTAACACACCCAGACATAAGTGACTGTAGGCTTCCACGTTACCAAAGTTCAGCCCTGATGAATTTGCAAAGAAGCTTTGCAGGCCATTTAATACCAGTTTAATACCACAGCACCTCTCAAAACCCGGTTCCTTCCTGAGCCACAGGCAGCACTCTGAGAACTACGGACTCAGGGCAGACAGCAGGCAGCCTTCACCCTGCAAGTAATTGAGCAACAAAGGCAAGCAACAAAGTAGATCTCTTAGCCTAAACCTTAACTCCATATATAGCTGCTGCAAGTGACATGACCACAGCCAAACTTTTCACTTTATTTTCTAGCTGGCATATCAATTAGCTACTGGTAACTGGTGCATCTTCCTAAACTTACTAAAGGAAGACCTAGACAAATTTCCATATGAATTTTAACAGTTTTAAACAGAGGAAACAATTTAAACATAGAAAATGTAAATTAAATTTAATGATTTGCTGGGAGTTTCCTTTATTATGCAAAAAGAAAATACTTTAAAACCCAATTCACTTCTTGCTGCTGGCTCTTAATGGTTTCTTTATTGCTTAGACATGATAAAGCAGCTGGATCAATCATTCTACATTTTCATACCTCTAAGAACCTAACATTTCTATTAATTGATTTTGTATGGAAATAAAAGTGTTTGGTCACCTTGCGAAAAGAAAACAAAAAAAAAACTAAGTTTTGATTTTTTGAGATTTTCCTTTTAGTCAACGAGAGAGCTCGGATTCTGCTTCAGCTGCTTAGGTCATATCTGACCCTCATTGTAGCAGGAGTTCAGAAATAACAAATACATTGAAAGAGGCAGCATAATCAAATATTTGAGACCTGATCAATTCCCTTCTCAACCAATGACAGCATTCAAGATTACATGACTTGATTTATAGTTATCCAACACCCATACACATCCATACACACACACACGCCCCGCATGGGACCATACTGCAGTAATAACGGCATTGTTTCAAGCCTCCTCATCTCAGCCTGCTTTCTCTGGTGCTCCCATCCAAACATGAGTAAGGAAACTTTGACCGTGTTAGTCTAGAAAGAATGACAGAGGCAATAAACAAGACACGGTGGCAGGATCCATTTCCCTCTCATTCTGTAACGTTTGCATCAACTCAGGTTTTTTTAGTCCCACATATATTAGGGAAAGCCTCTTAAAAACAACCCTGAGATAAATTTAACAAGATAAAATACACTAAGTGAAGACCCTTGGCCCTGGGGATTTGGTTGATGGCAGTGCCTCTCCTACGGTTTAATCTCAAGGATGCTGTGTAACCCAGCGCCCCTCAGATTAATCTAGCCATTGCTACACTTAAGGAGGCTGACCTACAAACTATTTACAGATCACCTGCCGCTGCGGAATGCAAGCTGAAGTTTTTTAATTTTTAAACTGAAGCTTTTACTCCAATTTACACTGATCAGCGCTTCTTTGTGGCTGCAGTTCTGCGGATCCTTAGCATACATTCATAGCCACAGCAAAGCTTAGCACTGTCTGACACATTTGCAAGATGCTGTTAATTCACCTCCTTCCTCCACAAGACAAAAATCTTTTCACAGTGGCTCCATGAGGAGAATGACAAGGTTAAAGCAGTGAGGTAGGAAGGACTCCATCCATGAGCAGCTCCTACACCAGCATGGAAACTAGAGTCCAGCTTTCACCTTTCCTAAGTGAGGACCTAATCAGCAGGCTGAGGTGGGGAGCATGTAACTTCTCACTGCTTTCTGACCCCCTGTCCTTAGCATTATCTACCGACCATCTTAGCCTTCCTGCTTTTCTCTCTGTTCTGTACCAGGCTTTGTGGATTCTCAGTCCCTGCTTCACTGTGTGGAGGACGTCAATACCTTGTGGTGGATCCCCTTCGGTGGCAAGGCATTCGAGAGGCAGCGCCTCAAATATTCAGCCACGCAACCCTCTGGCTATTTGGTGACCCAGTATCTTCATGCAGCCTTGTACCAAGTGATACCATGACCAGTCAGTCATATGCTGTCCTCTGGGTCAGCAAACCTGCCCCAAACACCCTATCCACCCATCTTCCTAAACTGGGCTCACCAAAACTAGATAGCATTTGTTGGAATAGTAGCATTATGGGTCTGAACTCCAAATTCAGACCTGAGTTGCCACAAATTTGTTTGCAGCCTAAATATTCACTCAAAATTATTTTTCTGCATTCAGATTTAAAAAGCAAAAAAGGAAGGAGATTAAACTCACCCATTACTACTTCCAGGTTTCTACAGCTGCTTCTATCTGCACCTCAGAGAAGAACTAGCAAAGTACAGCAACTGACTTGTGTTCACTGCATTTAAAGGCCAAGGGCTGATTACTGAAAACTACCTTCACATGTTTCCAGCCCAAAAATCCATTCCCAGAAGACCTGGAGATTTAATATGAAACCCTGTAGTGAATACAGGCAGCCTGCTGGCTGACATGATCTCCCTCCTTGTTAGGCTTATTAGTTTGACTAAGTTTTATGTTGAGCCAGCTACACTAATTCTAGCTTCAAAAGAAATTAATCTCTGCTAGCCACATGGTCTCCATGGCCACTGTGGCTAGCAGGCGTTGTTCCCAGCAGTCTTGTGATGCAGAAGTGAAAGTCTCTTTAATGCATTACGTGTGGGCATAGCTTTAAGTACACCACAAATGTCTCATCTGTGCTCTAGGGCATCTTCTCTGGGTCACAAACCACAGCACTAAGCAACCTATGCATATTTGTTTTCTGGACTGCCTTCATTTTCATTAGAGACTGTCCCACAAGGACACATATGGTCCATGCTCAACGTGATTTGTTTTAACCCAAGCGAAGCAACTATTTGGGTATGCTCTGACCTTCTGTCACACTTTTCAGAGGCAAAAAGAAGTCTTCCATCAGCCGGAAGATGAAAGCAAGGGAGTACAGTCTGGACTAAGATGACTCATGGGCTTATTCTCTGGTACCCTAAACCTGCTGGCCTTTCACCAGTGGGTCTTTTACTAGCAAGAAAAGTGTCTTTCCTTCAAGACCTGGCTAAAGCAAGGTAGTACCCATCAGATTGTAGGTAGTCTACTCACAAGAGACTGTAACTACACAACTGACATTCTTCTTCACTTTCTCTAGCAAAATCAGCTTGCAGCTCAATTAAGGAGACTAACTTGCACGGCCCATCTCCCTGAGAAGGCCCAGTGAGGACAGCTGATCCTCTTCCATCTCTGATAGTGGCTAAACCCAGCCAACCAGGAGCTGCTCTTCCTTTAACAGGAAGAACACGTACTTATAATCAAGCATCAGGACTGTGGATATTAGCTGGATTAAATGGTTTAGTGGGCTAAGGCAGAAGGTGCTATTGAATTAGGGCATCCCTACTCCATAGCATTTAATTTATTAACATCCTTTCGGGTACTGTATTGGGAGGCTTGGTACAAAGACTTCCCTTCTCTGATGCCAGTTACAAGTCTGCACAACTCTTCCTTTGATGGCTCAAGTGATTAGGTGTTAACAAGAGGAACCTAGGCACTTAACACTAGGGAGTTTTAGCACCAGGTTCACAACCCCCTCCCTCTTCCTACTCAGCTAAGGGATTTTTCTCATTCCCCACTAACGTTAACAGCAGGTACTTAAAGCAATTAGACATTATCGCCTCTCTGGTCTTTATTACTTCCTAGCTTCATATCAGCTACTTTGTACGCAATAAAAGAGCTGAATTAACAGGACTGGTGCAGACTATTCTGCTTCCCTTCTTTATTCTGTATGAAAACACTGGGTCATGGAGCCACATGGACAGGCTGTGAGCTGCAGTGCTTTAGACCGTTATTGCCAATTGCCATGGTATTTTACAAGGGGAAAAACCACAGGTAGTAAAAGAACAGACACAGGGAGATCATAGAGAAGGTGATGTGGGGAATATGGGTAGACCATAGGGACATACAGGCTGGAAAGATTTCACAAGTCCAGCAAAACAGCTTGCAGCTGTGCCTATGCTGTGAATTAGCTGCCACAGGGACCTGCAAGTTGCACGGGCGGCCTAGGGATGCAGGTATCATGCACTGCTCCTGTGAAATTAGAGCCCCATGTATACTGAGCAGCTCTTGCTTGCCTGGGAACAACTGTTGTAAATTTTTCATCTAGGGATTGCAGTAAACTCCTGTGCGCTCTATGTTTGGTGTTCAGAAAGAGGCTTTGCCGTGTTTGCCCAGCCAATTCAAAGCTTGCCCTTTTTCTTCTCCCTCTACCTTAACTCTCCATTAACTCTTAGGTTTAGTACAGAACCTCAGAGAATTATATATTTTCCTCCTATCCCCCCTCAAGTATTTCTAAGCCTCATTTTGTCATTCCCAAAAGGGAAGGGACAAGAGCTTTGAGCTCTTAAATCCTGCTGTCGGTTCTTGCCTGAAAGAGGTAAATAGAGAAACTGAAGGAAAGCTGAAGAAAGGAGCCTGTCCCTTGTCAGCAGTCACCTGTAATGGATGCAAAATATGGAGTTAAACACTGAAACTAGACTCGGGAACAAAAACTAATGGGGTACTTACACAGTTTCATCATTCTTGAACTCCAGCTCCCCGTAAGTGTCTTCAAAGTCTTCTCCACCTCCTTTTGCTGTCCCTTCTACTGTCCTAAATGGCACTATGACTGTACCCCGAGCACCTGATGTCCTTAGGACTTTGACTTCCATCACACCAATGCTCTCACTGACATGTATAACATCACACTCAAATGTGAAGATGCCAGCATGGTCATCATCCAGTATAGTCACTGTGGCCACACAAGGAGAAGCCAATATGGCCTTTGGGTACGGGGAGTTACTGAGCTCCGAAGGTTCCTCACTCTCCACCACACGGAGGTTACTGAGCCGCACAAAGAAATGCTCATCTTCCTCAAAAATGTCATCATCAATAATTCCCACTGAGAACTCCTTCTGCGTCTCCCCCGATTTCAAGACAACAGTCCCCTCTGTGAACTCATAGTCAGCACCAGCATTGGCAGAGCCATCCTCTGTTTTATAGTCCACATAGATGGTCTTGGACACGTCCCCTCCTTTCCGCACCACTGTCAGGAGAACAGCACCGCAGTTCTCAAGACACTGGTAGGAGCACGGGTCAAAATAAATCTTGGAGATGAATTCCTCAGGTTCATCTGGCCGCACCTCATGCAAGCTGGTGCTCTTCTTGGCTTGCTCAGCTGCATGCTTCTTCAGAATATTGCCAGCTCCCGTCATCATTCTGGTAGCTTGAATGCGATAAAAGGCTCTGCTCTTTTGCTGATGAGACAAGGCATAGTAGTTAGCCATCTCTACCAACTGGTCCAAGTCCTTTTCTGGGTGCTTTTGCTTCAGGTCCTTCAAGATCCGGATCATCTCTTTGCGAGATTCATCCACCTCCTTGCCCTCCACAGTCACTAAGTTTCCATCTAGAAAGTGAGAGTTCATCATCTTGCCATCCATCTCAATTCCCTTAGGGTGATCACCTTCTGATTCTATGATAATGCCCCTGTGCTTGTCCGTACGGTACTTTTTGTGCATATACTTATAGAAAAGCAGACGTCTATCTGCTATCCAAGCCAGAAGGACGCAAAGTGGAAAGAAGAAAAGTGTGAGCAGACCTTCCCAGACCTGAACCACACCTGGAGAGAAGACAGCAAGGATCATGTACAACCAGATGTAAGCAAAGATGCTCCATGCAGCTGTGACAAAGAAAACCCTCAGGTGTTTTATCTTTCTGGTCTCCCCATCAGGGATCACATAGACACAGATGGCAATGATGATAAACATATTGAAAGCAGCGCTGCCAACAATTGTAGATGGCCCCAGGTCTCCAGCTATGAATCCATGCCCACACACTTCTATCAGAGACAGAAGGATCTCAGGAGCAGAGGAGCCCAGAGCCATGAGGGTCAAGTTGGAAACAGTTTCATTCCAAATCCGAATGGTGGTCGTCGTGGTCTCTCCATTGGGTTTCTTAATTGTGATTTCTTTCTCTTGTGATGTAATGACCTCTATAGATGCCATGAAACGATCTGCAATGATGGAGACTCCAAGGAACATGTAGATCAGTGCTACAAAGTATACAATAACACGGGCAATTTTGTCCCCAAGGGATGGGTTTTCTGGGTACCATATTGGCAGGATAACACCTTCCTTGCAGTCAAAAGATCCTGAACACGAGCTGTTTTGTACTGAACTGGTTGAGTCTCCCGTCAGGCCAGCATCCACCTGCAAACCATGCAAAAACAGCACAAAAGTAACCAGCCCAAAATGGAGGAAGGCCGAGGTGACAGGCTGCAAGCTTAACCACGCCATACACAAGATGCAACTTCCACTGTGTAGATCCAAAAAGGCCGAGAACCTGAAACAAACAAAACAGAGAGGGGGGAGGGAAGCATGAGACAAAAGGAAGATGCAACATTTACCCAAATGCACTTCAGTATCTCACCACTGAAGAGTACTGGTAGAGATGCAGGGGTTGTCTCTCTGTCACTTTGAAGAAGATATTTAGCAGGGACTCTAACAAACTGCAGCATTTACATGCCCAGCAGATGAAGATCAATTGCTAGAAAAGTAACTCAGAGGAAAAGTGTGTACATACACAGTAGCCCCACGCTTGACCTACAACATGTGCAACAGGAGTACTGAGTGCTCAGCTGCCACTCACCTAATGGTGCTATGCTGTTCCCCAGCACATAGCACTTCAAGCACAAGAAACCAAATCTAAAGGCTTCCCTGTCTCACCACCCAGGGGATAAGACAAGCCAAGGAATCACTAGCAACACAAGAAGCACCATTAAAGGCCAGTGAGCAATGTCGAAATGATGTCAATTTGTTGGACATAATTTGGTTACGAATTGCGTAGTACCTCGGTGGCCAAACCATCCCCACATCCAGCCCCTAACAATAACTCTGCAGCCCCTTCCTAATAGGCTGCAGAGTCTGCAGAAGGGTCCTAGGGTTCCCCTGAGCTTCTGAGGTACAGGGCCTCCATGGCAGGAGGTAAAGATATCAGCCCAGAAATAGGGCAGAGGATTCATGTGCTCGGCAAATCGCCAAAGGCCATTTTTCACTAGCCTTTCCATTGTGATCTGGACAACCACATTTTACATCTATAATCCTGCTTTTAAAAGGTCACAGAAACCTAGAAAACCTCCACAGTCAGAAAAAGCTACGCTCATGAACCCAGAAGATAGACCAAAATGCACGTACCCACCAAAATGCATGTACCCACCAACATTCCCTCTGTATCCCTAAGAAATTGATATATTTTCCAATACTCTCTAAAATGAACGTAATCTCTTGCCTAAAATACTGCGCAAAAACAAAGGAGCTGATCGATGTATCACGTAGATTTGGAATATCACTGCCCAATAATGCCTTCTGTTACTTCTGGACTACATCACTCTAGGGCTTGCACCACTTAAAATCGTATTCTGAATCCTTCACATCGTCACAGATCACACTACTCTTCTTCCTTTCTAACAAGCTACTAGAAAAATTTGGTCTCAGGCTTAGCTGACAAATCACATTTGTGAGTCCAAACATAGCCAAGTACCTCATAGGAAACATCAAACTTAATAGCAGCATTATCTACAGCACTTGGATGGTTCAAGAGCCTTAACTCCCACTAACTTTCACTGAGGTTTGTACTGCCAAATCAGTAGGGCTGGGATTCATTTCCCCTACTGTAACTATCTAAATCTGGGGCAGTAAGTTAAATGAAGTCACTTAGGCTCCCCCTGTGTAGTCAGAGGAAAGAGACAGTCGCTTCCAGGGGACGATGCTTCCTGTCCCACCCTGTTCTCACCCAAAAGATGTATTTGACACACACATCCCCAGAAGGGAATTTGTCCCTTCCCACCTCTCTCCGTGGTCTATAGAGGGTGCTCAGTCCGCCAGTCTAGAGCAGGTGCCTAACCTTCAGATAGCGGCAGTCTGAAGTGATGAACTGGCCCCTGAACACTTGAGGAGGTCCCTCCCCTCTACCTTGCACTGTAAATATTCCAGGCAACATTTTAATGTTATCAGCACTAACAAATGCATCTCAAATGGCTATTTTATCATCATGTTGTGTCGCCTGCTTCTTTCCAAAAGCGTGTGCCATCTTCCCAACATGAACAAAAATGTTTTCAACTTTCAGATAAAAATCTATAAAGACAAGCGAAACAGGCAGGAAAGTGTGAACAAGGACTGCAGATGAACCAAACCGCTCCTGACAAAGCACGGCAGAGGGGGGAGAAATGATTATGCAGTATCAGAATCACAAATCCATATCGGACACCCTTGATACGAAAAAACAATACACTTCTTCACGCTACCCGGACTAATTCAGAAGAGACAGATTCTCCCACATTAGCCTACTTTTCTCTCTCCACTGCCTACTTATCTGCCTGCCTGCCCTAGCCCTGGTGCCTGACCGAGCCCCCGGCGACCAGAGGGACCTCAGCCCCAGGGAGAGCTGTGAGCCAGCCCCAGCCTTTGAAGTCTTGCTGCCTGCTTAGCTCAGGGTCACCAGGAAGACTGAGCTACCCAGCACGTACAACTTGGGTTTGGTTTGACACTGCGTCTTCCCTCCTGCTCCACATGGTATTTTACCAGATCTCTGACCACAGGAGAAACCCCTGTTGTTGGGAAACCCCTGACAAAGGGCCAGTGAACATGTGCAGAGGGACTATGAGCAGCAAGCCCAAGATCTCTGGGCTGCAAGGTAGATGTGTGCACATGCACAGTAAGGATGACGCGTTCCAGGCGCCTCTGACCCAAGGTGCACACAGAGACCAACTGCACAAGCACAGCAGCTCCAAAAACACCCTGGGCACATCAGATCATCCTTTTCTGTACTGCAATTGCTGGCAGGTATCCACCAACCTCTTAACACTTCCAGCTCCCAGCTCCTACTTAACTGTACAGCAGCCAGCAGGTGCTGTGTCTTCCAAGATCAGCCATGTAGAAACGGCTGACAGAAAGACAGGAGCAATTTCAAAAACATCTACGTGACTGAAGAATCTATATTTGGTTTCAAAAATTATTTAATAGTCTAAGTATCACTTCAATTCAGAGCCTTGTCTAGGAATAGTACAATGACTAAACTGCCCCCTGAAATAAATCACTGCTACCACCAACCTCCCTCTCTGTGGGACAACCACCTTCTGTAATTAACACTATCTGCCTACCTTCTGTAATGCCGTGATGGTTTCTACTGCTAGCCATTCCTCAACACGCTCCAGGACCTTGCCAATCCTTCTTAAATTTTTAATTGGATTTTAAGCAGAGCGTAATTTTAATATTATTCCTCAAACTAATCGTATATTATTTTAAAAAAAACCTCTGCCAGGGTAGCCTCTGTTTATGTGTTCGGACCTCCAGACTCAGGCTATGGGTTGTAGACTAAAATCTCAGAATTCTGGGAATGCTTATCTTCACTGGTTTTCACTTGCTTTGACAAACATTTTAACGTTAAGTGGAGGTCACAATCATTTTCTAAAATGATACAACGACCTGATCCTGCAATTCTTTGACACAGACAAAATTCCCCAGTGGGATCAACAGCAACTTTGCCCACAGACACACTGTCTAATAAGATCTTAACATGTGTTCATTAACATGAAAGGCATTAACCTAACCAATCTGAAAAACACAGTGAAGCATTCTTGCTGTCACCCTCTCCTTGGGAACTGGTGCAAAAGTGCTTCACCATATAGAATAAAACTATTAAATTTCAAATCTGCTATTAATAAAGTATTGAGGTAACCGCATTAACATTCAGATGTCAGAGAGCAGAAAAGTTAAAAAGCACTCGGTAGCTCTAGGTCAGCAAGGTTGCTTATACAAGGCGCAAGTCTGCCCTCAGATATATCTACTAAACTCAGTCCAGAAGTCACTGCAGGGGATCTACGCAGCTCTGGCCTGCCCAGTGTGAAGCAGACATGTCCCCCATCCTTCCTCTGAGTAGCAGCACCGACCTCAGCAGGGCTAACTGTGACCAGAGCCACCCTTCAGCGCGAGTGCTGCTCTGAGGACTGAGCCCCCAGGCAGGCTGGCAGCGCAGTCCTGAGTCACCGCTAGTCACCCAGGAGGTGTCACGGTGTCACTCCTCTGACGCCAGTGTGACATAACGCTTCCACATCTGGCGCAGAGAGGTGTCATTCCAGCAACGTCACTGCCCTGGCCCTGCGGGATGCGAACAACAGGAGGCTGCCGCAACAGTGGGAAGTCAGTTGGTACTGGATGATCTTCAGCTTTATAGTATTAAGATCATGATTTCCACTACCTCTTTGCTATCAGACATCATTTTCTCCCACAGGTCTCTGCCACACTATTGCTATCACATTGAATACATGCAGACAAGGGCAGCGGCACTGTGTGAAGCGTCCCCTGTCAGGTAGGATAAGTTCAAAGCATATAATCAATGCAAAAGAGAGACAAAAAGCATAAAGCATCCATGCAACAGAATGAGCTAGCATGCAACTAGCAAGGCTCTGGGAAGATGCATAACAGTTCTTTTAGCAGGGGAACTCCTTCTTCTACAAGAGTTGACAACGGCCACATGATCCATAAATCCATAAATAGAACCCATAAATAAAAAGATCAGTTCTTGAAATACTGCTGGAGACAGTCCAGAAAGCAGCATGGACCACGCTTGTCACAATTAAGCTTGCAACAGAAAATGACTTTTAGACAACTATGAAGCTCCTTACATCTTTTATAATAGCTGAGTTTCAGAAGACTGATGGTTTGTCTGGTGAGGTAGAAAGCTGGGAAGGCCACACTTACCCCTTAAAATTTAGCTTTTTGTATACAGCTGCTCACATGACTCTAAATGCAAGGTTATTTTCAAAAGGAAGCATTCACAACAAGAAATCAAATCAAGAAGCAACATAACATGGCGATGGCTGCCAACACCTAACCTCCACATACTAAGTTCCCAAGAACACTGCTCATTAAATAGAAAATCAAAGGCAAACCTGTAAGTCCCTATTAATTTCTTATTTAGGCAAAATTCCCCTTAAACCATCATAAAAACCTTTGGATTCGACCTGCAAATAAGATTAGGTTGTCTGGCACCTCCTTCTCCTTCCCTTCTCCCACCCATCCCACAAATAAATCAGACACACAAAGTATATCCGTGGCCACATATCCTCTCTCCCCCGACTGTAGACTGGCCAGGAAAGGCTGCTGATTAGATCTGAGCACTGGGTGAGCCCCGTTCAGGCGTGGGTGCTGCATGAGGGCCAGACAGAGACATCTCAAGATCAAGGGTTTTGTCTACTTGACAAGCATCCGTCCCAGAACAGAGCGGATACAGCACTGCTATTAGTGTCACCT